TGAGTTATTCATTTGAGGTCCTCCTTCTGGAGGTTCGCTTTGCTATCACCTAGTTCGGTGATTTTGAATGTGGCTGGTGGAGGAACTACGTAACCATTGTCTCGTGTGTCTTGGTTGTTCTTGACGAGTGTTTCTGCTTGCAGGTGCCTGATGACCTCGCTTGCCTCGTGCGACCAGGTGGCCCCTCGCACTCTGTGGTCGAGGTGGAGGGAGGCACTGATTCGCGTTTTGGCAGCTGTGGGCTTATCTGATCAACAGATTTTGGCGAGGAGACCGGCTGTCATCTGCTTGACTTGTACTGCCAGGGGTGGTAGTTCAGTTTCCATATGCAAATTGCAAATTCTGGTCCACATGGATGCTCCGAGCATGGTCTTGAGAGCATTATTTTGGATAACTTCTAGCTTAGCTATCTGGTCTTCTCTCAGTCCAATGAGCGCTGGAGCACTGTAGTCTACCAGCGATCTGATGGCGGCCGTGTAGTAGGCCTCGAGCACGTGTATGTTCGCTCCTGCGGTTGTGCTGGTGAGCGACCTCATTATGTTGTGTCTGCCCTTCGTCCTGTGCCTGAGATACTCGAGTTGCGGCTTGAAAGTGAGTTTCTGGTCTAACCAGATTCCAAGACACTGGTGGGTGTTGGTCCAGACTACCGGCGTGTTTTGTAAGGAGAACATCATGTCTGGTGTGTGTGTGTGCAGATGGCCATCGCTTTCGACTTGGCTGGATTTATCTTGAATCCAAGTCTGTTGCACTCCTCTTCTATAAGTTGGAGTGCGTGTTGCTTGTTGACTAGTCTGTTTGCTCCTCTTACTATGAGCTGTAAGTCGTCTGCCATAGCAGAGGAGCTTGGCTGTTTGTCTGAAAGGAAGTTTGACTAGATTTTCCATCAGGACATTGAACAGCGTTGGACTGAGGATGCCTCCTTGTGGAGTTCCGTTTTCGTGGACCCTGTAGCTTGACGTTGCCCCCTAAAAGCATACTCTTGCTTCTCTCTGTGTGAGGTAGTTCTGGATCCTCCCCAGCAACCTTCCTTTGACACCTTTGTCGGCGAGCGTCGTTATAATAGCCAGTGGATTTGCTAGTTCGAAGGCCTTCTCCAAGTCGAGAAAGACCACCAAAGCTGGTTTATTGTCCACTGTGCTGAGTATCTCGGCGATGTTGTTGCTTGTGCTGGTGTTCTCGGTGTAAGCAAAAATGTGAGGGTGTGGGCTGCCTACTTTCCTCTTGAGTCTGTTGAGAGCCATTCTTCCTCCCATCTTCATTATGCAGCTGAGGAGGGAGATGGGTCTTGGTTTGTCTGGTTCTCTGGGCTTCGGAGTGGGCTGTATATCTGCCTTCTTCCATTCCGGTGGCAGTCTCCGTGCTACCCACGAAGCATTGATGACTTGTAGCAAAGCCTCGTGCCCGGCTTCTCCGGCATGAGAAAGCATGGAGTAGGTTATCCTGTGCTCCTGGTGCTGTGTCCTTGCTTCGTTTTATCGATTTCTGGAGTTCTTGCTGGTTGAAGGGACTGTCGGTGTCGTCTTCAACATTGCAGGCCTCTTCGATCATCTGGAGTCTGACCTGTCGCAGACGCCGTTGTCTCCTCCGCCTGTCTCGGGAGGTTTTTCGTTGCTGCTCGGTCGGAGAACAGTTTTGCAAGTCTCTCGGCTTCCTCTTCTGAGCTGGGATGGGTTGGGTTGGTGATGGTGGTGTTGCCTTCCCAGATGCCCTTCGGATCTGGGCCCACATTTTGCCGAGGGAGGTGTGCTCGTTCAGTTCGTAGCACCACTTGAGCCAGCTTGTGCTTTTGATTTCTTCCTTCTCTTCCCTGGTATCCTTGACTATGTCTTGCAGGAGATGTCTGTATGTGTCCGTGGGATGTCTCCTGTAGTTTCTTCGGGCCATGTTCACTCTGTGGTTGAGTTCTTTCACCCTGGGACAGTAGTACCAGTAATCCTTGTACTGTCTTGATGTAGGTTTTGTTTTTGGGATAGCCTCTTCTGCCGCTTGGTGAAACGCCTTGACCAACTGTTGGTGGAGGGTTGTCTCGTCCACGGGTGCTGCACCAGCCGGCTGTGATTTGGCGCGCCACTTAGCCAGGTGTTTACTATAGAATTCCCTGTCCGCCTTTTGGGTTTTGTATCTCCATCTCGGGGGGGGGGTAGAGTGGGGAGTTCGTTCACCTTCAATGTTGTTAGGGTAGTAAAGTGGTCGCTGGTCAGCGTGGGGTGTAGCTGCCAGGAGGCCGAAGGCTGTAGACCACTGGAGACGAAGGTTAGATCTAGCCTTCCTTCCCTAATGTGGGTGGGCTCTCTAGTGTTTAGAAGGGCGATCTCGGGTGTCTTGAAAGGTGGTGTATAGGTGTAGGCCGTCTTTATTTGTGGGGCTTACCGAGCTTAGGAAGCGAATAATTGAGTCACCTCCAGTGAGCCCCTTGGGTTCTTGTAGATGTTGTGGACAGTTATTTCCCGTTCTTGGAGGGTTACTTTGACGGCCTGTGTCTCAATGTTTTCCCCACATGGCAAATGCTGCATGACCTCGGAGGAGGGTATGCTCGACTTGACCAAGATCATACATCCTCTTGTCGACGTCTGCGTGAAATGCCTCCTGTATGTCTTGTAGCCATTCAATATGAAACAGTGGTGTTCTTGTAGGAGTGTTTCTTGTAGCAGTATAATGTCAAGCTTGTCCTTGGCTGCTGCTTCTTGCAGGTGTTTCTTGTTTTTGATGCCCTGAGCACACCATGAAAGGATGTTCAGGGTGCTGGTGTTTTCCACCACTGTTTCATCGGGGACTTCTGGTGATCCTCGATGGATATGTTCAGGTCTGGTTCCGACTGGATCAGGTTCATATCTTCTTGTTCTGTGGTGGTTTTTGCCTTCTGGGCCGTGGATCGGTTCAGGGTAGCTGAAACGTCCAGTTTCTTTCTGGGAGCTGACAGTATTTTTGGTTCCCTGGTGGCCTTTTTCGGTGTAGAGTGTACCTCGGCTGTCACTCGTGTGGGGGCCGGCATGGTGTCCTCTGCTGAGGTGGCTGGAGCTGTGGCGACTTGCCCGAGGACGGTCCCCATGAGTATTTGGAGCTGTGTGGGCTGGATCTTGTGGCCCAGTAGTCCGGCTAGGCCCTCCGCGAAGGTTGTCAGTACCTTGGCTAGGTCTGATACGTGTATGATTCCTTCTGGTGCCTTGGTGTGTGCTTGTTTTGTATTTTTCGTAGTTGTCTGCTGCTTGGGTGGCTGAGATGTGGCCGTAGGGAGGCCAGGAAACTGGGCCGCACTTTGGGTGTTGACCGGTTGAGGCGGTTGACTTTGTTGTTTTTGCCTTTGGGTTCCCCACACGAGGGTACTTGATGGGGCTGGTGTGAAAGCAGTGGAGGCCGGACTTGCTGCTGGAGGTGGTGCTGGTCGGTTTGCCTGGACCCTCTTTGTCCTCTCGGAGCATCCAGGGTTTCAGGCGTGCTGTTTGATCCCACAGTTGGCACACTTGAGGTCAATTTTTCCCTATTCTTCAACTTGGTGAGGCAGGAGTATGTGCCGTGCTTCTGCGCACATACGGCAGCGCTCGGAGGGGAGGGGTAGTATTGTAGTGGATACTCTCCCCTACAACTCCTGATTGGTCATTTGCCGTCCGCTTACCAGCCAACCAGCAGCATTTCTCATCTTTGCACTTCAACTTTTGATCCGGCAGAATCATATAAATACCCCCCCCTGCCTCGCCGTGGGGGCAGACAACACCAAGCTCTTAAGCAGAGAAGACCTCCTCTAAAGAAGCTCCTCCACAGCAACTCCTTTATCAAGCAGCAACTTCCCAGCACCAGACTGTTCTGTACATATAATATATGTGTTTATATAGAAAACGCCATTGTGAGTTTCCTTTCTCACCTCCATTCTTAGTGCGAGATCTCCTACGTGTACGTATGTATGTGAGCCCAACAAAGGGAAAATAGACAAACACAAAGAGAAATTAGACAACTGGCCACATACACTACTCTACAACACTTTCCAAAACAGAAGATCTCCCACCAATCACATTTCAGACCGCAATCATTCTGGCAAATTTTAAAATAGATATGCTAGGCCTCACCATTTCCACTAATGTCATGGAAGCCACACATCCTCAACATTGCTAAAGCTGCCTCCCGAAAGCTGGGATTGCTGTACAGATGCCGTAGCTACTTCACTCCTGAGCAGTTGCTTCAAGTATATAAGGGATGCTTTCGTCCTAACTTGGGGTAGCTCTTCTTCTGTCCAACTGTTAGAAAGGGTGGAATTAAAGGCATTTCGTCTTATTAACTCTCCTCCTTTAGTCGACAATCTCTCTTCCCTTTCTCTTCGCCTCAATGTTGCTTCACTCTCTCTCTCTTTTACAGGTACTTTAACGGGCAATGTTCGGTGGATTTGGCATCCTGTGTACCGCCGGCAAGGCCGCGGGCTCGTAACACTCGTCTTGGCCGCGGTGCCCACCGTTTCTCTGTGGATGTCGGTCACACGAGAATAACCCGTTATAGTACAGCCGAACTGTGGAATGCTTTGGCTTCTTCTGTGTTTCCATACTCATGCAATCTGTCTCACTTTAAAAAGATGGTTTTCCGGCATCTTCGTGGTGTCGATTAATATAATTTTCTCTTCTATTTCTAATTTCTTTTTAATCTTATTTTTTGCACCCCCCCAGGCCCCGGGTGAGCTAATCTATGTATATATATATATATATATATATATATATATATATATATATATATATATATATATATATATATATATATATATAAAGAACTATTACAGTACAGTACTGTATTTGTTATGTGATCTTTAGGTAGTATTAATGTGTTTACAGGGAGATCTCTCTCTCTATATATATATATATATATATATATATATATATATATATATATATATATATATATATATATATATATATATATATATATGCAGTCTTAAATTTTAAATGTAAATTATCTTTTCAGAGAGCAACGAATAAAATTTAAAGGTTCTTCTTGTCATCAACTAAATTTTCTGTGTACAGAGTAGCGGAGACTGCTCTGGACCATGCAAACGCCGAGACTCGAATGGACAGTGCAGGACCATGTTTTCCTGCCAGTCGCAGACTGGTGAAGGGCCCCGAGATAGCCCTTCTATCTTCAACATCCCCTGTAGTAGGCGTTGCTACTCTTTGGTCCGAGGCCGCTGTCGTCTCAAGTTTTCGTGCCTACTTGGTTAACCTGACTATACTGTACACATTCCTTCCTGAAAGGTGGCTTGGGCTTGGGTGCACGCCCCTCTTGCACTTTACGCTATAAGGTTCCACCTAAATATTACTTAATTAAAGGAAGTTAGAAGCTTATTTGTTTGACTATAGGAAGTCAAAAAGTGTGGAGCGTAATTTGTATTTGTCAAGCCAAAGCTCCTTCACGTAGTATTCACACAGGTATTGCAGCTGCTGCTAATTTTGTAAGCTGGGGTGATGTTAAATTGCAATATTGAGTGCTGGGTGCTGCTAAATTGGTAGTGTTACGTACACATTTCTCAAAATTAAATGAGTTCTTCCCTTAATACTTTCACTGCGATAGTTTGGTGAAAGTTTACATTATATAAATTAGTGTTTAAACTAAAGTAATGTACTGCTTTAGTACAACAGATGATGAAGACGTACTACTGTAAAATACTCCTCACTATTAACGTATGGGTGAAGTGTTGAGTGAGTGAGCTATAGTGTGAGTGAAGTGTTGTGTGAGTGAGCTATAGTGTGAGTGAAGTGTTGTGTGAGTGAGCTGTAGTGTGAGTGAAGTGTTGTGTGAGTGAGCTATAGTGTGAGTGAAGTGTTGTGTGAGTGAAGTGTTGTATGAGTGAATTGTTGAGTGAAGTGTGAATGACGTGTTGTGTGAATGACGTGTTGTGTGAGTGAGGTGTTGTGTGAGTGAGGTGTTGTGTGAGTGAAGTGTTGTGAGAAGTATTGTGTGATTGAAGTATTGTGAGTGAAGTGTAGTGTGAGTGACGTATTGTAAGTGAAGTGTTGTGTGGGTGAAGTGTAGTGTGAGTGAAGTGTAGTGTGAGTGAAGTGTTGTGAGAGGTATTGTGTGATTGAAGTATTGTGAGTGAAGTGTAGTGTGAGTGACGTGTTAGTGAAGTGTTGTGTGAGTGACGTGTTGTGTGAGTGAAGTGTTGTGAGAGTGAAGTGTAGTGTGAGTGACGTGTTGTTAGTGTTGTGTGAGTAAAGTGTTGTGAGTGAAGTGTAGTGTGAGTGACGTGTTGTTAGTGAAGTGTAGCATGAGTGACGTGTTGTGAGAGTGAAGTGTAGTGTGAGTGACGTGTTGTAAGTGTTGCGTGAGTAAAGTGTTGTGAGTGAAGTGTAGTGTGAGTGACACGTTGTTAAATAATAATAATAATAATAATAATAAACGGTTTATTAATAGAGTTACAGCCGGTGGCTGAAAATATACAGACTTACATTTGATTTAGACATAATGATATAATATGCATTGAATACATTTACAGGGCTGTACAGTACATAAATCAGGAGTTGTTTATTATTTTAACAATAGATGGGATGGTGCTGTTCTTATATCTATCGGTGCGGGCTCTTATGGGCTGTATTTTGTTGTAGTGGCGGACTGCGCGAGTTCGGTGGGGGGCAGGAGGTGGCGAGGGTGGTGCAGTAGTCCACGGCCAAACCTTTCCAGTGCTTGGTGGTGGAGGTCACTGAGGGATGGCATTTCCAGGGTGGAGAGAGCGTTGGTGTAGCCCGAGTATTGTGCGCCGAGCATGATTCTGCAGGCCCTTTTCTGTACCTTCTCTAGCTGACGTTGTTGGGTGGAGTTGAGAGAAGACGACCAGGCTGGTGACGCACACGAGTAGTTTGGGGAGAATAAAGGCGTTGTAGATGGTCCTCAGCTCTGGCGTGGGTGTCCCAAGTGACCTAAGTCTTCGTAGCATGTAGAGACGGTACGAGGCTGCCTTGACTGTGTTATTTACATGGGCCTTCCAGTCAAGTTTGTTGTCAATAGTTACACCCAGGAGTTTGGCAGACTGCACCAGCTGGAGAGGATGGACACCCACTGTGACTGCTGGGGCTTGCACTGGAGTGGTGGCGGTATTGATGTGCATGATTACGGTTTTGGTGTGGTTGATGGTGACCTTGTTCTCCGTAGTCCATGCCTGTAGCCTGTTCAGGGTGCCTTGGAGCGATGAGTAGTCTGGTGCAGTGTTGTCCACTGAAACCCCCACAGTGCAGTCATCCACGTACTTCCACATGTGAGGAGTGTCCGATAGAGCGTCGTTGATCAGGATGAGGAAGCACAGTGGTCCCATCTTGGTCCCCTGGGGAACACCGCAGGTGAGGTGTTGGAATGTAGAGACCAAGCCCTGATACCTCACTGCTTGGCGACGTCCACTCAAGAAATCAGTGAGCCATGACACCAGGTTGGTGGGCAGCCCTAGTGCAATGGCCTTGTTGATAATAGTGCAGTGATCAACAAGGTCAAAGGCCTTCCTGAAGTCCACAAGGGCAATGGCCAGTGATGTCTTACGTTTCTGCAAGTTTTTGTGCAGAAAATCCAGAAAGTTCACCAAGCAGTGTGATGTAGAGGTCCTCATATTGCCAAATTGCTGTGGATCAATTGACTGATAGATACTGGCAAATGCCCCCTCAAAAACAAAGTCCTCACAAAGTAGACTGGGTATGGGAGTAATGGCAACTGGCCTGAGGTCGTTAGGGGACTGTGGGGTGGTGACCTTGGGGATGGGGGTGACAAATGCGTTTTTCCATTCATTAGGGCATTTGCTTTGTCTGAGGGATGCATTAATAATAGAACAGAGGGGGGTAGCAAGTTCGACTGCAAACTCCTTGTATATTTTGATTGGGAGGTCAATTGGGGTCGTGGAGCGTTTGGATTTAAATTTCAGGAGTTTGTTGGCGATTTCATATGGTTGGACACGAGGAGGGTAAGTAAGCTGGGAGGAGAGTGAGGTCAAGTGAGGTTAGTGAAGTGTTGTGAGAGTGACGTGTTGTGAGTGACGTGTTGTTAGTGAAGTGTTGTTTGAGTGAAGTGTTGTTTGAGTGAAGTGTTGTGAGAGTGATGTGTTGTTAGTGAAGTGTTGTTAGTGAAGTGTTGTTTGAGTGAAGTGTTGTGAGTGAAGTGTTGTTAGTAAAGTGTTGTGAATGAAGTGTTGTTGAGTGACGTGTTGTTAGTGAAGTGTTGTTAGTGAAGTGTTGTTGAGTGACGTGTTGTTAGTGAAGTGTTGTTAGTGAAGTGTTGTTTGAGTGAAGTGTTGTGAGTGACGTGTTGTTAGTGAAGTGTTGTTTGAGTGACATGTTAGTGAAGTGTTGTTTGAGTGAAGTGTTGTGAGTAAAGTGTTGAGTGAAGTGTAGTGTGAGTGACGTGTTGTTAGTGAAGTGTTGTTTGGGTAAAGTGTTGTGAGTAAAGTGTTGTTAGTGAAGTGTTGTGAGTGAAGTGTAGTGTGAATAAAGTGTTGTTAGTGTTGTATGAATAAAGTGTTGTGAGTGAAGTGTTGTTAGTGAAGTGTTGTTAGTGAAGTGTAGTGTGAATAAAGTGTTGTTAGTGTAGTGTGAGTAAAGTGTTGTGAGTGAAGTGTTGTTTGAGTGAAGTGTTGTGAATGAAGTGTTGTTAGTAAAGTGTTATGAGTGAAGTGTTGTGAGTGAAGTGTTGTTTGAGTGACATGTTGTTAGTGAAGTGTTGTTTGAGTGAAGTGTTGTGAATGAAGTGTTGTTAGTAAAGTGTTATGAGTGAAGTGTTGTGAGTGAAGTGTTGTTTGAGTGACATGTTGTTAGTGAAGTGTTGTTTGAGTGAAGTGTTGTGAATGAAGTGTTGTAAGTAAAGTGTTATGAGTGAAGTGTTGTGTGAGTAAAGTGTTGTTAGTGAAGTGTTGTGTGAGTGACATGTTAGTGAAGTGTTGTTTGAGTGAAGTGTTGTGAGTAAAGTGTTGAGTGAAGTGTAGTGAGTGACGTGTTGTTAGTGAAGTGTTGTTTGGGTAAAGTGTTGTGAGTAAAGTGTTGTTAGTGAAGTGTTGTTAGTGAAGTGTAGTGTGAATAAAGTGTTGTTAGTGTAGTATGAATAAAGTGTTGTGAGTGAAGTGTTGTTAGTGAAGTGTTGTTAGTGAAGTGTAGTGTGAATAAAGTGTTGTTAGTGAAGTGTAGTGTGAATAAAGTGTTGTTAGTGTAGTGTGAGTAAAGTGTTGTGAGTGAAGTGTTGTTAGTGAAGTGTTGTTAGTGAAGTGTAGTGAATAAAGTGTTGTTAGTGAAGTGTAGTATGAATAAAGTGTTGTTAGTGTAGTGTGAGTAAAGTGTTGTGAGTGAAGTGTTGTGAGTGAAGTGTTGTGAGTGAAGTGTAGTGTGAATAAAGTGTTGTTAGTGAAGTGTTGTAATCCTTGTGTTTCACTTGATTGTTTACGGAGGCGCCAAGAGGCCAAACCCACTCACTGTACAGCCTGACTCACTCACTCACACGCTGCTTCCGAGTTTAGAGTCATCTTTTCCTTTCCAGTAAGTGAAAAAAATTCTCCGTCACTGAGCGAGTGATTCAGTTAATCAGAAAATACTTAACAATATTTATAATTCAGTAAAGAGACCCTGTGTTTATTGTCACCAGTACAGTTCTGTGTTTAGTGTTAATGTTATGCATAACTGTTAATAATATGCCAAATAAACGTTAATATTTCTTATGCTTTATTTAGATACTTAACTAATATCTTGTAATTTTTCCGAACACACACAGTGCTTAGATAATGTCATTTACATTATACTGTACATGTTGATAATAATTATCTCTTCATCAATTAAATTATTTTATTAACAAGTTCGTTTCATTAGTGACAGTTAATATACATACGAGAACAAGGTAAAGGTTAATGTACAAATACTGTATACTTAGACTAGGTTAAGTTAAATGTGATTTTTGTTAAAGAGCCACAACTTAACAATTTATAACACACGTACCAACCAAACCTAACCAAACCTAATCTAAAGATCTTGAGTTAGGTTTATATTGTATGATACCATGTGGTTCATTACGTCTACCCAGTCCGCTTCCTGTGTGTATGAAGGTACTTTATTGTGTTCACAGACTGTGCCACACCTGGTACTGTGACACCCAGGTACTGTGACACACCCAGGTACTGTGACACCCAGGTACTGTGACACACCCGGGACCAGACACCCGGGTACTGTACACCCTGGTACTGCACACCTGGTACTGTGGCACACCTGGTACTGTGACACACCTGGTACTGTGACACCTGGGTACTGTGACACCCAGGTACCTGACACCCGGGCATGTGACACCTGGGTACTGTGACCCCAGGTACTGTGACACCTGGCACTGTGACACCCAGGTGCTCAGACACCTGGTACTGTGACACCCGGGTACTGTGACACCCCAGGTACTGTGACACCTGTACTGTGACACACCTGGGTACTGTGGCACACCGGGTACTGTGACACACCCAGGTACTGGACACCTGGGTACTGCGGACACCCAGGTACTGTGCCACACCCGGGTACTGTGACACCCAGGTACTGGACACCCCGGGTACTGTGACACCTGGCACTGTGGCACACCCGGGTACTGTGACACACCCAGGTACTGTGACACACCCAGGTATCAGACATACCCGGTACTGTGACACACCTGGTACTGTGACACCCAGGTACTGTGACACACCCAGGTACTGTGACACACCTGGGCACTGACACACCCGGGTACTGACACACCCAGGTACTGTGACACACCTGGGTACTGTGACACACCTGGGTACTGTGACACCTGGTACTGTGCCACACCGGGTACTGTGACACACCCAGGTACTGTGACACACCCGGGTACTGTGACACCCAGGTACTGTGACACACCTGGTACTGTGACACCCGGGTACTGTGACACTCCAGGTACTGACACCTGGTACTGTGACACACCTGGTACTGTGGCACACCTGGCATGACACACCCAGGTACTGGACACCCGGGTACTGCGACACCCAGGTACTGTGCCACACCCGGGTACTGTGACACCCAGGTACTGTGACACCCCTGGTACTGTGACACCTGGTACTGTGGCACACCCGGGTACTGTGACACCCAGGTACTGCACACCCAGGTACTGTGACATACCTGGTACTGTGACACACCCAGGTACTGTGACACCCCTGGTACTGTGACACCGGGTACTGTGGCACACCTGGTACCGTGACACACCTGGTACTGTGACACCCGGCATCAGTGACACACCCAGGTATGTGACACACCTGGTACTGTGACACACCCGGCACTGTGACACACCTGGTGCACTGTGCCACACCTGGGTACTGTGACACACCCAGGTACTGTGACACCCGGCATGTGACACCCAGGTACTGTGACACACCTGGGTACTGTGACACCCCCAGGTACTGTGACACCCCTGGCATCAGCACACCCGGCACTGTGCCACACCCAGGTACTGTGACACACCCAGGTACTGTGACACACCCGGGTACTGTGACACACCCGTACTGTGACACCCAGGTACTGTGACACACCCAGGTACTGTGACACACCCAGGTACTGTGACACACCCGGGTACTGTGACACACCCAGGTACTGTGACACACCTGCACTGCACACCTGGTACTGTGCCACACCGGGTACGTGACACACCCGGGTACTGTGACACACCTGTACTGTGACATACCCAGGTACTGTGACACACCCGGGTACTGTGACACACCCAGGTACTGTGACACACCTGGTACTGTGACACACCCAGGTACTGTGACACACCTGGTGCCAGACACACCTGGTGGCTGTGACACACTGGTATGACACACCTGGGTACTGTAACCCAGGTACTGTGACACACCTGGGTACTGTGACACCCCAGGTACTGTGACACACCCAGGTATGTGACACACCCAGGTACTGTGACACACCCAGGTACCGACACACCCGGCACCGGACACACCTGGGTACTGTGACACACCGGGTACTGCACACCTGGTACTGTGACACACCTGGTCCTGTGACATACCCAGGATTGTGACACACCCAGGTACTGGACACCCCAGGTACTTGACACCCCTGGGTACTGTGCCACACCCAGGTACTGTGACACCCCCAGGTACTGTGACACCCCTGGTACTGTGACACCCCCTGGGTACTGTGCCACACCCGGGTACTGTGACACACCCAGGTACTGTGACACACCGGGTACTGTAACACACCTGGTACTGTGACACCTGGTACTGTGACACACCCGGGTACTGTGACACCTGGCACTGACACACCCAGGTACTGTGACATACCTGGTATCACTGGACACACCCGGGTACTGTGACACACCCAGTACTGGACACCCGGGTACTGTGACACCCGGGTACTGTGACACACCCAGGTACTGTGACACACCCAGGTACTGTGACACACCCCTGGACACACCCGGTACTGTGACACCCAGGTACTGTGACACACCTGGGCACTGACACACCGGGTACTGTGACACACCGGGTACTGTGACATACCCAGGTACTGTGACACACCTGGGTACTCGGACACCCAGGTACTGACACCCTGGTACTGTGCCACACCCAGGTACTGTGACACCCCAGGCACTGTGACACCCCGGGTACTGTGACACCCTGGGTACTGTGCCACACCCGGGTACTGTGACACCCAGGTACTGTGACACACCCTGGTACTAACACACCTGGGCACTGTGACACCTGCAGCCTGCACACACCTGGTACCAGACACCTGCACTGACACACCCAGGTACTGTGACATACCTGGATGGGTGACACACCTGGTACTGTGACACACCTGGTACCAGGACACCTGGGTACTGTGACACCTGGCATCTGACACACCCAGGTACTGTGACACACCCAGGTACTGTGACACACCTGGTACTGGACACACCCGGGTACTGTGACACCTGGTATCTGACACACCCTGCTCGGACACCGGGTACTGTGGACACCCAGGTACTGTGACATACCCAGGTACTGTGACACACCTGGCACTGTGACACACCGGGTACTGTGACACACCTGGTACTGTGACACCTGGTACTGTGACACACCCAGGTACTGTGACACCAGGTACTGTGACACACCCGGGTACTCAGTGACACACCTGGCATTGTGACACACCTGGGTACTGTGACACCTGGCACTGTGACACACCGGGTACTGTGACACCGGTACTGTGACACACCTGGTATCAGGACACACCCGGGTACTGTGACACCCGGGTACTGTGACACACCCGGGTACTGTGACACACCCGGGTACTGTGACACACCCGGGTACTGTGACACACCCGGGTACTGTGGCACATCCAGGTTCACAAGCCGATACACACTGTTGACAAGTACTGTTCGGGCTCTTGAATGTACCATAACCTGCATGAGTGAGTGTTAGTCGTCAAGCTTTAAAAGAACTCGCGGTAAAGGTTAGGTTTTGGACCATAATCCTTCTAGTGGTGAAGCCTAGGTTTTTCCGATGTTATTTTTGTTAATTTTCGTCGGAAATCACTGGGTTTTTAGATAGCCCCCCTACAGCCAAAACGAGCTATTTCCGGCGAAAATTAATATAAAAAACGAATAAAACACAAAAAAAAACCTCGGAAAAACCTAACCTAACCTAACCTAACCTAGGCTTCATCACCAGAACGATACTGAGACCTAACGTAACCAAACAAACCTACTCCTAACTTACGTCTTTAAGGTAAACACACCCCATATCTATATTATTAATCATTGGCGACGGAAATGCCAGAGAAGAAATGTCGTCTAGTTTGATGAGTTAGACCTGAAAAAAAATCTAAATAATTGTAGCTAATTGTGGTTCGAAATTTAACTAATACTTACCAAACTCACACCTGTATCTGTGCCGTCACAACATTCTCTGGCAGGTTATTCCAACTCTTTACTCCAAGGAACTTAGAGCTGACAGCTTACTGTACTGAAAGCTTCTTTAACTAGAGGCTGTGACCTGTTAGTGTGGCGACCATCCGTTAACACCGGATATAATATCAGCACTTGACTCAATAATGTCCTCAAAGAGTGAAAACATTCCTCAAAGGTTTAAACCATAGTCCTCAAAGGTTTCAACCATAGTCCTCAAAGGTTTAAACCATCGCTCTCAAAGGTTTAAACCATCCCTCTCAAAGGTTTAAACCATAGTCCTCAAATGTTTAAACCATGTAGGGAATAAATATAATGAGAATAAGCCATCCCAAAATAAGGAGAAAATCCCTATGGTTAACGACGCTAGAGAAATTTCCGCCGCCACCTCAGTTTCTCTCTGAATGTTAGCTAAAACCTGCTAAGGTCAAGGAATGCAGGCGTCTCCAGCCACGGCGCTACCGACCAGAGTCGCTAAAACTCGAAATATTAAATGTAGTCAACCCATGTTCGTAATATACTCAAATTAGATAATATTATCTTTAATTTTATTAGAATCAACCCAGAAATTGTTGAAGGGCCTATAAAATTCGCTAGCTGTAACTACTTTTCCGCTAAGTTGGCAACGCTGCCTAGGCACTTATTCACCAATTGGTTAAGCAAATTCATGGACTTTGTTGTTTTCTATTGTTTAATAAAAATATGTTTTCTCTCTTCATAATACTGAACACAGAAAAAAATCAACAAATATGACCACGTGGCGTCACAACTCACTCGGCAAACAATCGACCTGTGTTAGTTGTGAGTTACTAAAGATGCCGAAAATGTGAGGATGAGAAGCTTTGCTGAAAGCTGACATACTGTACTGTATAAGTGACCAACAGCTGATCAAGGAGTAAAGAAGGCAAAGATGTTATTAAGAACAAATTCCTGTACTGATGAATCTGGCCCGGGCCCTATAAGAAAAATCAAACGCCAGCCAATCGGTAATGATTGAGGAATTTTGACTTGAGTGTGAATCCTTCCTGCTCATCCTGAAAACCAGGTCCTTCGCGCCTCGACGGTAGACCTATATAAGGCAGCAGTGCAAGCAGGTAGATCCGTCTCCCACTTGCACTGAAAACCTCTACGAGGATAGGCTCGTCCTCTTCATGCTACGAGTACTTTGAAATTTTCAAGATCAAAGTCTCAAAATTCTTCCTCTCCAACTCACTCCGTTCATCTTTGAGGTAAAAGCTCCAAGACTTTACCTTCACCTAACCCCCAAACAACTCTACCACTAACCTCCTTCTTGGTTCTTCATATCTTTATTGTGATGGTGTGGTCACCGAGACCTGGCGGGGTGTGGCCCCTGGCGGGTTTTTGGGCCCGGGCTGCATTCATGACGGTGACGATGTTCCCAAAGCGAACTCTCTCTACTGCCGTGGTCGGGCAGGGTGCTGCTGCTGCTGACAACCTCATCGCCACCAGGTACGCTGTATTAAGCCACGGCACCTTTCTCTACTCCAATGAGTGATTTCCCTCCACCCTTTACTCTTCCAGTGAACCTTCTTCACCCTTATCACCTGGAGTTAACTATCAGGGAGAACACAATTCCTCTACTGCAAACATCGACCAACGTCTGTTCCCAGGACTCGTACAATACTGCTGTATCAGTCCACTTGTAACTTTAGACAAAATAATGAGCTTGTAAACCTCTTGGTTACTTTGCTTTCCACGCCTTACACACGTGTATGTTACGTGCTGGTGTGAAGAGCCTGTAGAACCACAGACAACCGCACTTCTACCTCAGTTGTGGTTCTCTCTCTTATTTGATGATTTTCCTTTTAATTTTGAACACTTATAAGATGTTACTTACCGAGACAAGAGCCCCATCGAACCACAACAAAGATAAACAAATTGTCCAAGAGCAGCTTTAATTACAATATGTTTGTTTGTTTATGTCATCTGTTTAGATAAATAACTTGAGTATACTGTACATACTATAGGAGATGTACGTGACTCAGCTGTTGAAGATAAGAAGCCAGAACCCATCCTCGGGTCTAGGATGGGGGGATGCAGGGTAAGTTTCATTACGTATCCCTCGACCTAGTTATTCATATCTGCCAGGATCCTCCCAGAAGAGCAGCAAATATATCTTTAGCCCTTTATCAACCCTGTGTTTGTGTTATAGTACTGTTGAAGTGTTCTATCTGCTAGGGTCCACAGAGGGACAACTAAGAGTTCTGAAGCCAGGTATTCTGATGAAACCCTTCCCAAAGGTCTCTTCATCAGTAGCCTTGTTGAGGACGTGGGCCAGCAGCTTCTCGGTGGCCAGGGGGTGCCAACCACCGAAGGTACACATAGAGTTGTCGTACACATCCCAGTAGTGGCAGCGGTTAGTCTGACGCAATGATGGCACGAACTCCACCACGTCTACCGTCTCACAGTGAGCCAGCATTAATACTATACCTAAGAGAGAGGAGAATTAGCTATGTTATGGACAGTAATTCTACTGGATAAAATTATAATCAAGAAAATTTCAGCCAGATATTTCCCAACGAATATAATCCAAGGATAAGACAGGGCAGCAAGGATCTGCTATGGTAAGACTTAACCAGGAAGTTTGAGGAGGATCTAGAGCAGTGGTTCTCAGTCCCAGGTCACATTCCTCCCCTTGCGAGCCCAGATTTCCCCAATTCCTCCCCCATTTTGAATTGTCATCGAGTAATATTTTCACCATTATACTTTTACAGTGGTAATTATTGAAACAATTTATGAAACTAAATTGCTTTATTAATTTCCATCAAATGAAAAACGAAATCCTTATTTCAATGGATCATGAAACTTCCATTTGATTTAATGCCCACTTTGGCCTGCGTGCAGAGAAACTAAACTAGAAAACCGAGGAACAAATCCAGTTAGTTTTGCTCGAAGGTCACCACGCTCACAAATGTTGAGACGTCCTTGTTTATTAGTCAACAGCACTAAAGGCACATTCAACCAAGTATGTTGTTAGGAAGGACAAAAGCACTTGTTGAGCCTCTGTAGCTAATTTTTTATATTTGGCAACAACTTGAGGATCCATCCACATTAAGTGTTGTTTTGAAGCATGGATCGGTTTCATACTGTCATCATTTTGCATGTCCATTAGCTCGTCGATCTGATCAGACTCCATTTTAGCCAGGCAGTCATTATTTTCCCAGTTAAAGAGAAATGGCTGAGCAATCCAAGAAGGGAAGTTCATCTGCTTCAGATCAATGAATATGTCGCTCAGGTCATCATGGAGGTTGGAGAGGTGTTCTGAGATTATTTGTAAGATATTTTGTGATGGATCACATTTAATGAGATGTGGGAAGTGAGAGAGGTTATTTCTCAAGACCTGGTCCTTCAAAAAATCCAGTTTACTGATAAAACCAAACATTTTGGTTTTGCAATCCATGAGTCTTCTGTTCATCTTGCAGTTCCTTATTTAATGCATTTAATTTACCAAAAATATCAGCAAGATATGAAATCAAGGCCTTGGCTTCATTGAATTTCATGAACTGGAAGTCCTCACGATCAACGTGCTCATTTTCCCTATTTTCTGTGAACGTCATCCAACACTTTATTCATCACATAATTCTTTGCCCATTCATTATTCATATCTGAAAATGTTTGCAACATAATTTACTTGAAATGGTGTGTTACCTGGTGTGTTACCTGGTAAAAATTGGAGCAAGCGTGGAGGCCGATATCACTATTGGCCGAGGGTACGAACCCGGAATTGCCAGTGATTGTCTGAAATATCGCTAAATGTTCATTGGTTTGCACTAAATGTTTTTTATCGTCTCAACTAGTCCGCAACTGTCAACAACTGAGAAACTTTGTTGAAAAAGACAAGCTTAGATATGAAGCTTGTTTTCCAGTATTGTCCCATAATATATTTCAGACAGTCACTGCCAATTCCTGATTCGTACACTCGGCCAATAGTGATATCGGCCTTCACATCCAGACCGCCAGTTGTTGGCAATTTGTAATAGCCACAGTTATCAGATGCCACCCGAGCATCATATTAACATGAGCACGCTTTTCAAACCTCAATAATTGAATAGTCCCAAACAGGATTAAGTCTGAAGCAGCAGTTTTTTGTAAACTGTTAATTCGTGATCGCCCTTATAGTTGTGTATATTGGTATTTCGTTTGATACATATACACAGTGTACAAAGTACATTCTTTCCCCGTTTGGAGTTCCTCCCCTGACTGAAATTCCTCCCCTGGCTAAAATTCCTCCCCTTGGATTTGAAATTCCTCCCCTAGGAGCCAATTGCCTCCCGTTTGAGAATCACTGATCTAGAGTCTAGACATTCCGTGTGTATGCGTAGTAGAACTCACCCAAGAAGCCAGACGATGGTGGGTTGGGCAGAACGTGTGTGTGGGTGTGTCGCTGCAAGACCTCCCACAGTCGCCAGAGGGACGCCGGGTGCAACAGATGAAGGTCTTCCTGTGGCAACATCAGTCGACGTCGGAAGTACACGGGGAAGAAATCGAAGTCCGGGGACGCATACCACTGAAGGAGGTAAACATTACAGTGCAGTACTGGGTATGACCTAACAACCTCTGTCAAACTGATTTGACTCTTTACTCAATGAAGTTATCATTAATTGATGTAGTTATCTCTCTCTCTCTCTCTCTCTCTCTCTCTCTCTCAACATACCTCATTTAGTGTAGCAGTATAGTTACATGGATCCCACACTAGAAGAGCCATGCCGGAGTACAGCGGCGACCCCCAGAAATCAAACTTAGGCTTCGTCACCACTTGAGAGTTGACAATTCTTAAGGTGGTCCTCGAGCCCACGTCCTGCTCGAAGCCTTCAGTCGGGGCGTGATTGAAGCGAACTATGGCGTCATGAGAATCTGGCAGTGTGTCGTAAAATAATAACAGATTTACATAATACTCATTGTACAGTATATGGCATTTTGTAATACAGTACATAAATACAATAGCACTTGAAGATTAGTTCCCAGCTTATTTTACTTAACCAGCATAACCAAATCTAACCTAACCCAACTTAATTATAAAGTACAGTTTTTAACCTAACCTAATCCAATGCATCTTACCTAGCCTAAAGAAACCTAACCTAACCTATCCTAAACTGACCGTAACCTAACATATCCCCTCAGGGAGTATGGGTGGAGCCACACCAAATACAAACAGTGTGTTGGCGACGGAGTTATCATCAGTGTTTGAGTCACGCCCTCACCCAAGTAACAGTGTCACCAATATTGTTTGTTGTAAACACTCTGGTCAAAAGCTACCAACAGTGTTTACAACAAAGTTGAATACAGACATGTCTACACTAACGGAAAATGTTATATTGTTTGTATAACTGCACTGTCTCGGTACATTGTTTGTATACCTGTACTGTCTAGGTACAAGGCGTCCTCGCTTAACGTCGGGGTTACTGGGTTACGTTCCTGAAAACGCGACGTTATGCGAAGCAATGTTAAGGGGATCAATTTTCCCCATAAGAAACAGATAAAATATGGGAATTACGTTCCCCAGCCTTCCTTTGCCCCATGAAAAAGTTACATATACAGAAAATTATTGCCATTTCTATAGAAAATAGTTTATAGAACTACACTACAGTGCTAAGTTTGTATTGGTACTCACTGATGGGCGGAGGGGGTAGAGCGAGTGTGTGGTGGGTAGTGGAGCGGAGGAGGAGGATGGCGGGAGTGGAGGAGGAGGAGGGCGGGAGAGGGGAAGGGTGGTGAGTCACTGAGACACTGCGGCTGCCTCCTCTTCCTCCTGCTCTGACTGGGGTTCCTCTGCCGCTGGTTGCTCCTCCTCCGTTGTTGGCGGGAATGTCTCGGCAGCGACCGTATCTGACCTGGCAGCTTCACCAGTCATCTTAATGTTGTGGAAGTTATACCGACGCTTAAATCGTTGAAACCAACCACGACTGGCAGTATAGTGGGGCAGTGAAATGCAATTTTCAAGAGAATCATGCAAATGGTGATACAAGCACCAAATTTGGCATGGTAATTCTCTAATGGTTACTAGTCAAGTCTGCCTGATTGGCCATTTGAAAATCCAAAATGGCGGTCATTTTTCAAGATGGCCGCCATATTGACCTTCAAAAGTTGATATTTCTTATAGAAATTGATGTAGTTGGTCAATCTGAGTGATCTTGGTGTCGATATGTATGTTTTCAAGCATGCCCAGATGATTTTTTATAGTTTTAAGTCCATTGTAACATTTTTATCCACAAAATAACACTTTTAGTAAAAAAAATTATAACAAAAAAGAACTTACTAAAAAACAAAGTACTCACTATTAGCACTGGTCCCTGTGACTTCTCCTGACAGTACATCTTTGTGCATTTACTGCTGTTCACATATGCAGCTGCAAAGTGCTGTGCAGGAAAGTCCAGAGCGAAAGCATTTGCATCTCTGGTTGCAGTCTTTCTTCCAGGAACATTTGGTCAGCTCCTGACAGCATGTCGCAATCTGGGGAAGAGTCGTCCAACGTATCTGCCATGCCTCTCCCTTCTGCGTCCGTCCCCAGTTGACAGGACTGCTGTTTCTGGATTGGAGATTGTTGCCTGGCCCCAGATGATACCAGCCCGCTTTGCATGTTCCTTGAGGGCTGCCTGGGTTGGTGGAATGGAGCCATATGGTCTCTGCTTGCGGAAAAAGAGATTTAGTCTTGCCTCATCTACACCAGTGGCTGCACTAGATCTGTCGTACATGAGGACAACAAATCTTTCCAGCTTCTGCAGGTCAACATCAGCAACTGTTGTTGGACATTGGTTGAGTTTGGTGAATGTTTCTGAAACTTCATCACAGACATTCCATGTCTGCCATGCAGATTTCTTTCCTTTCCCACGGAAGCCAGACACAACGTCACTACCAGTGAAAGTATAGGATCCCACTCGCTTTCTTAGGCCCTATTGCAGAAACTACATCATGAACTGGAATGCATCGATGACTGGCTCCTTGGCCAAAGGCATTCCACATGTTATCAAGACCAAGTTCCTGTAGTGATGGCAGTACAGATACTGCTATGACGACCACGTCAGTGTCATTGGCTTTGATGATGAGGGACTTGCTACCTTCCATTGCTGTGTCCCTAGCATGCATAAACATTCGTGTGTCTGCTTCCTCATGACAGCATGGAGCCACAGCTTATAGGGACTTCTCTATGTTGCTAATGGCATCTTCTCCCTTTGTCACAACCACCGTGCTTGTCGTCTGTGCTTCACACATTTTCTCCGTTAGAAAATGGAATTGTTCTGTCTTGTTTTTGTCATCTCGCAGAAAGCTTCTCCAGTTTTGGGGAGTCTTACTGGTTCCTGTAACTCTTCTCCTGATCCCCTGTCCTCGTTTCGACCTGGCTTCAGACTTGACTTTTTGTACACATCAAACACTACATCCACCCACAGCCTGTTCAAAGCATCCTTCATGAAATGTACTGCTGAAGTGTGACTTGTGCTGAAGCATGTCCCGTCGTATCATCCCAGCAGCCTTGGCCAGATGGATAACGTCACCGTATTTGCTTGCTTGTGCCAGGATTGAGCCAACATCCTTCTCAAAGGCCGGTAGGATATCTCTTCCTTGGTGATGAGCTTGCAGCTGGGGGATGTGAAAAAGCAGCTTGTCCTTCAGTCGAGTAGCATGAACATCGGGCGATCCAACACCCAGCTGCTCAAGTCTCTGTCTGTAGAGTGTGACCAGGTCAGCAAGTCTGAAAATGGGTTGTTCAGTACCTTCACTAGAAGCTTTCATCTGAGTGATGTAAGTGACCAGTTCAGAGAAAGCAGTTGGGTATGCGTCCTTGTTCGGATGAAGCTCTTGTGCTTCTTCTTGCTCATGAGCATTTAAGAACATAAGAAAGTGGGATACTGCAGGAGGCCGACTGGCCCATACAGGGCAGATCCCTTTCACACCCATCCCAGCACTTCCATGTGCCTATCCAACTTCGTCTTGAAGCTCCCTAGCGTCCCCGATCCTACTATAGCACTCGGTAGTCTATTCCACAAATCCACAACTCTATTACCAAACCAGTGCTTGCCTATATCCTTTCTGAATCGGAATTTATCTAATTTAAAGCCATTTGTTCTAGTTATTTCGTTATTACTGAGCTTCAGAACATCTTCCATTTTACCCTTGTTAATCCCACTTACCCACTTGTACACCTCTATCATATCTCCCCTAACTCTATGCCTCTCTAATGAATGTAAGCCTAAGCTTTTCAGTCTTTCTTCATATGGAAGGTTTCTAATATTATGGATCATTTTTGTCATTCTTCTTTGTACTCTCTCCAAAGAATCTATGTCCATTCTATAATAAGGACACCAGAACTGAACCGCATAATCCATGTGTGGCCTCACTAATGCTAGGTAAAGTTTCAAGATAACGTCAGCAGTTCTGTTACTCACAGACCTAGATATGAACCCAAGAATCCTGTTTGCCTTGTTGCGAACGCTAATACATTGTTTTCTAGGTTTCAAGTCGTTGCTAACAAATACACCTAGATCTTTTTCACAAACTGAGTTTTCTATTTCCGGTGTGTTCTTTCTCGGTTGTACAGGTCTGCCAGGCAGCGAGGGTGATACCTCAGTTCTTGTGCCACAACATCTCCTACACTTAGTTTGGCAAGGAGTTTTCCATCGCTAAGTGTCTTCGCACAATCAGTCAATCTTTTATTAAGTTTCATTGTCATTGCATGTCTTATGTCATCTCCCGAAGCTTCTTCCTCACATAGAAAGCATTCTGTTGCTTTGGGGTCTCTGACCATTCGTGGTATCTTGCTAGTGCTGCTCTCCTCTGTAGCAACTGCAGAGGTTCGCCTTTTCTGAGCTCTATTTAACTTAGTGTTGTTGAACAGAAGTCTGCAACTCTCATGCCTTGTTTCTCCTCAAGGTCTCCTCTATCCCATCATCGTCAACAAGTCTTGCAGGGTCAAGCTTGATTGGCAGTGCATTGATTGAATGAAACAGAGGAATATTCCTTGCCAAGCTCTTGTAACCGTCATCTCCTTTTTGGCAGGATTTGCATGTGGAGACTTAAGATCTTCCTTCTTATCCTGTTGACAAAGACAACACTTTGCCCAGTCAGTAAGGAATGATTTGTTGGTAGATTTTGTGTCCATAACTATTTTTGATCTTCAGGGCCGAGGGTTTATCCTTTTACCACCCTGATGAACACTTTCTTGTATGGGCTACAACTAGGTTCATGCCTTTTGCCCTACACCTAGTCCGATCGTTCATCCAGTGTCATTAGTCCCGTGCGATCTGTACACCATCCAGATAACTAAAACCCCGTTATCCTTGGCTCGGCTCTCCCGCGCTGACACATCCTGTCAATTCAGGTGCGGCTGCTTAACATATTTGGGGTTGGTTAAGCAGCATTTGGGACACTAAGCTGTTACAGTATGACATGCTTTTTCTTAGCTGACACTGAACCCCATGCTGGGTTGCACAGCAGTGATGTCACCAGTGTGCCCTGGTAGTGCCCGACAATCACTCCCTCACATGCAGCGACCCTCTGCATGCTACCCTCACCTAGTTGGAAAAAACATAAAACCAGTACACAAAACCAGTCATAAATGAGACAAATATATATCTGAGAGTATCAGAAATAGAAAAAAATCGTCTGAGCATTCTTGAAAACATACATATCGACACTGAGATCATTTAGATTGACCAACTACATCAATTTCTATAAAAAAAATCATTTTTCGAAGGTCAATTTTGCAGCCATCTTGAAAAATGGCCGCCATCTTGGATTTCCAAATGGCCAATCAGGCAGATTTGACAAGTAGCCCCTAGGGTATGATAATGCCAAATTTCATGCTTGTATCACCATTTGCACGATTTTTCCATCATCTGCTCTACTAGTAAAGGTCTCTT